CTTGCACAAATGCCTGGTAAGGTACCTCAATTTTTTGCGAGTAAGCATATTAAAGTAGCAATACTTCAATGACAAAATCTTAGAAAAAATTATATATTATTGAGTAACGTATCGTCTGTCCTTAAAGTTTTTCATCCAATATTTTTTATTCAAATAACTTAGGGGAACAAACACAGCCTTATTTCATGTTGAAAAGACACATTAAAATTTGTGACAACAAAAAAAAATTTCAAATTACTCCGCATGTTCAATTATTTGACCTTTTTGCACTCAAAAAAATTCATTTTCAATAATTTGAAAGTAATGACATTTTACTGAATTTAAGAAGAATGGCTAAAAGTATCTTATATATTCAGGAAAGAAAATAAAAAGTGGGGTCTGTGATGTAAATTTTTAAATATTACTAAAATAGTGCTAATTTTAAGCTTAAAAAAGGAATATTTTTTTTCTTGATTTTCACAAAATATTTGCTATATTTATGAAATATGATGATAAAATTCATGACAGTTTATTTGATATATAATTTAGGACCAGTATAAAACAGTTCACTGCACACAATAACTCTGTGTGCAGGCTGCATGGAAAAAGAGGAATCCAAACTTAAAATTCTTTAAATACTTCGAAAGAGAAAAAAAATGATCATTTTCTTCTAAATAACCTTCCGCCACAAAATATATTTCCTCACTTAATGCTTTTGGTATGGAATTTAATCATGGAGTTTTAACTGAATATAGTTTAATTGGCATTGTAGAATCCAAATTTATTGTAAGAATTAAAACTTTATGCAGAATTTTTGAAATATAGGTTAAGATATAAATCTGCTCAAAAGCTCAGAAGCTCGTTAAATTGACAGGTTACGGAAACCAAGTCACAATTTTCCGTTCGTGTATCATCGGGGCTTTCACTCTGTAACTGAATTCCGAGATACTTCTATATTCTTGCAAGCAAACGTTTGATTGGATAATTGAAAGGTCACTAGGAGGTGACCCCGAATGGGGTTTCTTCAGATCCTTCTGTAGCGACCTATGTGAGCGGATCAAAGGATCTAATTTTAATCAGATTTCCCAACAGAAATATGTGGTGGGAAAGATAATGGATCCACTCCCACTTTCAAAAAAAGGAATTCTTACGTTCTTGTAGTGGGTGACCATTGTACCAAATGGGTAGATGCCATCCCCATTAAAATCAAAAAGCCCAAATAATTTCCCATGAACTTTATAAAAAAAATAATACCCATATTTGGGGTTCCCAAGGCAATTCACTCTGACGACGGGAGATCTTTTGAATCCAGTATATTTCAAGAACTATGCAATATTTTCCGTTATTAAAAGCTTGTACAACCCCATATAGACCCAAATCTGATGGCAAGGGTGAACGGTCTAACCGCACTATTGAAAATATGCTACTTGCTTTTGTAAATTAAAAATCAAGATTGGGATGAATACATACCCCTCATTATGATAGCCTTTTGGTCCTCAGGCGACGAATCAAGAGCGTCTCGTCCCTACCAAATGGTTTTTGGCAGACTCATCCATTTACCTGTTGATCTTGTCCTTAGCTCCCCAAACCCTGAAATTGATAAACAAATATAGAACTGAATTTTCCAATCAATTAGCCCAAAAAAAGAAAAAAAAACTGGAGACTATCCATAATTTCGCCTGTAATAAACCCCCCAATTATTATCCAAACATAAGAGAATATAGCTAAAAGGTCCACCAACATTTTTATAAACCTGGTGATGCTGTTTGTTTTTATTCTCAAAACATATGGAAAAGTTATCTGGACAGGCGCATATGTCATTATATGGCATTAATGATGTTACTTGTAAAGTCAAGGAAAACCAAAAATTAAAAAAGTCCATCATAACCATAATGGAGACCACAAACCTTCTCTACCCTTGTAATGTGATGAATGGATCCGAAGTCACTGTCCTATTATTTTCTGCCAATCCATTACACACCGCCTTACCAAAAATTTCTAATACTTCAGATTCAGCGCGACAAATGCTTAATATATGAAAGGGAATTTCCTTGGCCTGGCACCGTGAACGTCATATCACCACAGCTTACAGTGCTTGACCTGCAATTTTTTTCTTTCAAGACCAGACCAAAAACTCGGCTGCCAGGGACACACTTTTGCAACTTGTGAAAAGAACACGGAGATACAACGGAGAGGAGGACCTTGAATTGAAGCATTCCAAGAAAGTCGCGTCAAACTTTGTGATCCATTCATGAAGCCTGCCACTCCCAATCTAGGAAACACAAATCTGGCCGCTTCCAAACCTACAACTTAGCAGACCAACCCACAAAAAAATGCTATGGTAAATCTCCAAAGAAAGCCCCAGCCAAAGCAATACCAGCATTAATGGTCATAAACTTGCCAATTCCAGTTAACTCCGGAGACTCAGCAACTGCCCTCAAAATCACAAAATCTAAAAAATCTCCACATCCAGAATTTACCATCCTGTGTACATGAAATTCACTTAACAACCCCCCTCCGAGCCGACCAAAACAGCTGATATTTCATTTCCAAGTCCACCTTCACCAAAACAAGGGAAGGATATCCCTATCAACCTTGCTCTTTCCGAGTCCAATAAATTCCGTCTTTGATAAAACCACAGTTGTATCCAAAGACGAGGACCAGGTATCTAGGTTTATTGAGGGAATCATAGATCCTCTAGCAGAATATTCCGTTTCCGACCCCGTTCCCGCTGGTCAGTGTTATAAGCCTACAAATAAGAGAATGTTAAAGAAAAAAGCAATTCAAGATGCATAGAGTATTACTTTAAACATGATTGTAGAAAAAAAATGGAGTGGGAGTTCTAAAGCAATGGAACCTGTAATGGCAGTGGATGTTTTTACAACCATCAAAGATAATGAACATGAAGTGAAAAAACTTGTAAGGGATGATGATGATGCAACCACTATTTCATAAGTGAAGTGGATAAAACAATAGAGAAGTGTAGTGACAAATAGAGAAGTGTAGTAACATATAGAGGAGTGTAGTGACAAAAATAATATCATAAAGAATTTTACAAGTTATCTTCATGCATTACAGAAGAAATAAAAAAAAACCTTCAAAGGGTGATTAGTACAAAAACTATAAATCACATAAAGAAGTATTTTTCTTACGCAATATCAAAGAATAGAAATTCTGCCATATTGACAAAATAACCTTGTAGTTTACCCAGTCATTTATTTGGAAACAACCAAAAATGTGATGCATGATATCTACAACATCCTTAAACCTGTGTGCCAAGGAATCTTCCTGATGGAAAATGCTTGTCAAACCAGGATCTATTTGACAGGCTGCTGGAAATATTTACAACATATGCAGAAAAATCAGATTATCAACATTGGAAAGTACACAAAACAATGAATCTTTCAAAGGACTAGTTTAGTGAAGGTACATGTACATGAATCCTAAGAACAATTTTATTCGCCCAAAGTGGCAGTAGCTCTATGTCAAAAGAAGTTAGAACAAGAGGCCCAAGGGCCTTAACCGTCACCTGAGTATAATATAACCGGAATGACAAGATTACAACTAAGCATGCACGCAACTATCCTATATCACTGGGCAGGAAGTTTTGATGGACGGTTAAGTCACCAATACTACAAGACCTCTGTGATAATGATAACCAGTATGCAGATGCGAAATACAGAATTCTACAAACTGAATGTTTAATCATGAACTCAGTCTGTTGTCAGCAAGAAATTATTTTGGAATAGGTATGCAGGTATGTAAAAAAAAAAAAAAAAAAAAAAAAAAAAAACAACCCAGCATATTTGGAAGAATCCAGGTATAATAACACCCCACGCGACAAGTTAGGTAGATGGAATATTGGTTAAATGAATGATAATCTATTCAATTAATTTAAAATGATGAAAGACCCAATATCAAAAACAATACAGTATAAGCTTTTCTGTTAGACATGAACTTTAACATGTATAAAATATCTAAAACCACCATATGTGCCAAGAGGAGATAGCATCCTCTGTTGACTGGTCACATCCGCCGTTTTCTTCTGTCACGATTGGGCAAACGAAAAAAAAACTGTAAACAATTCAGGGATTAAATAATGACTTTACAATTTTTTGTTTGTTGTTTAACGTCTGTGATGAAGTAGAATTACGGTGCTTATCAGTTTTGTTGTTTTATGTGTAAATAGTTGTAATTATATCCTTAGTTTGGACCCGTAGTTGGGAATGTTCGTAAATAGGGCTATTTTTAGAGTAACCGGTTTGGTCAGTGAGAGTCGTTGCTATTTGTCAAGTGTCCTGTAGTCGATGTTCCATGGCGAATTCCAGAAGTTAGTCTGGTAAACGGGTAGCAAAGAAGTCGGTAATTTTACTACATGGGCATTTCTTTCTCCAGCCGGTAAGCTATAATTTTCTTTTGTGTATATTTTGTGGGCTTTGTTCTAATTTTACCAGGTTGGGATTCATCCCCCGATATCGGGATTTTCTCTGAAATGAGGAATATTTCCTTTTATGGTTATAATACAGTCGCGCCAAAGCAGGGTTTTTTCATGCATTTCAACTCATCCGCGTTCGTTATTTATTTGAAGATAGTCGCAGGATGTCAGCAACTGTAGTAAGTTGAACACATTTATCCGACTTTGTGTGAGTCAGAAATTTTACATAATGTTGTCTAATTAATAGTAATTAACAAATATTAAGATAACAAGAGTGTTTAAGACCATTAACGACAACAAAAATGTTGAAATTGAAAGGTACCTGGAAAGTTTACATGTTATGCCTCCGTTTTGAATCGTCACCTAGCTGTGACAATTGTGATTTTATTTCATAAAACTGAAGTAAGGTATAACAATGTATTCTCCCTGGCTTCCGGTAATCCCAGCCTATTTAAAGAAAGAGATCTCGCGAGATCTTCCTTCTTCCGTTTGGCTTCGTTGTTAGCAGACGACTTAATTTTTTTGTTTTATCTAATCTTCTACAATCCTTTCGGATTTCGTATTGTATATTAGTAATGTTTCGGACATGGATAGTCCTGTTTGTAGCCCAGATGGGGCAGTAGATTTTGGCCAAGATGGCATTTCTGCAAAAGCAGATAGTAATTTGTGTGGCCAAGATGGCGACCCCAAAAAGTGGGGTGGTTATTGCATCCCTAAGAAAAGTTTGCGCAAGGGGGCTATTAATAAAGATCGTTATGAAGACGACAGTGAATCGACCGATCCTTATGAGGATCATAGTTCATCAGATGAGGAAGGCGAAATTGACAATTTCACTTACAAGTCGCCCCTGACACTGTCGCACACCCGAGACGAGCCACAGGCCGACTCTGACGATGAAATGGACGCTAAAAGTTTTGACCACCCACTCATTGATGAGACGGAATACATGCTAGATAAAAACAAGGCAAAGTATGCCAAAAAGTATTTCAAGCTTCATTTGTCAGAGGACAAAATTCGCTCCAGCATTTTGGAAGACGCGCCTATACCAGGCAACCATTTTTTGAATCCTCCAGATATCGACAATTATCTCTCGGACTTAGTGGCGGATCACAAGTCAATGAAGTTCTTGAAAATGCACGATTCTTCACTAAAATTTGTACAGAAACGAGTTTCTCAGTGCATGGGACCCTTATCTAGAATTTTGGACGAAATGGACAAAGCTGATGAGGGCAGCAAGTCTAGTCTGGAAATAGAAGTGGTGAACTTCCTTGTAAAAACTAAACTCATGATTGGTCAAGTGAATGTTGCGTGTCTTTACGAACGAAGACTGAATTTCCTTGCAAAAATTCTCGAAAGTACTAAGAAAGCTAAGAGCATGTTACTTGAAAACGAGACGAAACTTCAGGACGATTACGTCCTCTTTGGGAACGACTTTTACACCACCCTGTACAGGAAGTCGAAAGACAGAAAGAGTGCACGAGAGATGTCAAGGGACATCGCCAGACCTGTCAACAAGAAACAAAGACAGAGTGTTGACCAGCCCTTTGGTCAGGGACCCTCTGGTGAACAAAGAAAGTCCAGAGGGTCGAGCTACTCAAGAGGCACAGGCAGAGGCGCCATTACAAAGAAACAGAGGTATGTCAAATTTATCAATTACGTCACACGTAAACATACCGATAGTAGTAGAACAGATGTCAAAAGTTCTGAGGGATCATCACAATCTCCACTCAGGTATAGAAAAGTTAAAATTAACGGAAATTGTACAAAATCAAATCCCCTTAGGGGCAGGCTAAAACATTCCGTTTCAAATTGGGCAAAGATTACAAAAGACACTTCAATCTTGGCAGAATTAGAAGGGTACAAAATAGATTTCTCGAGAACACCCAGTCAAACATCAATCCCCGTGATAATTTATTCAGAGAAAGAATTTCAAATTTTAGATACAGAAATTCAGGAGATGTTACAAATAAGTGCGATGGAGATTGTAGATCCCAGGAACATAGTTCCAGATCAGTTCATAAGCACTTTGTTTGTACGCCCCAAAAAAAGGTGGGGGGTCACGTCCCATTTTCAACCTAAAACGACTAAATTTGTAATTTACGAACATTTCAAGATGGAGGGTTTCCAAGTCGTGAAAACCATGATGATCAAAAACGACTTCATGTGCAAAATCGATCTGAAGGATGCATACCTTTGTATTCCAATACACCAAGCTCACAGGAAATACCTGAGGTTCAGTTGGGGGGGGGGGGGGGTCACCTCCTACAGTACACAAGTCTGCCTTTTGGATTAGCAGCCGGTCCCCGTCTGTTCACGAATGTTATGAAACCTATTGTAGCAACTCTGCGCAGAATGGGGATTCGACTGGTAATCTACCTGGACGACATTTTACTTCTGAATCAAACCAAAGAAGGGTTGATGAAGGACAGATATTCCCTTATTTGGTTATTGCACAACCTGGGGCAGACCTGCCTACCCTTCCGCTTTTGGCGTAATTCTTCCGCTTTCTACAACGAAATTACGCTGTTACGCCATGAAATTTAATTTTACGCTTTTAAATATTTTTCCTAGACAACTTAATGAAAGGCTAACTTGGGAGTTAAAGTAAAGGCTTTCCTAAATAAAAACGAGAAGAAGGTAATTAATACTAATTATTAGAGGGGTTCGGTTCTTGACGACATGATTATTTACGATACAAACAACATACGTAATATACTTTGTAGTTATGCCTTTTAAACGGGTGGCCTGCCAAAAATTAGAAAAAAATTTTGAATGATATGTGCAGTAAGTAAAGTCAGTTTAATTTTCAATTCCGTTTAAACTTACATTGCTTAGAACAGCATAGAGACAAGTAAATGTAAGGAAAACCAAAACGATAGCGCAAATATGTAGAATTTTATTAACATGCAAATGAAATCTGGAATAATGTGATTTTCTATAAATTTTCCAAAAGTTCATTAGGCATGCAAGTTAAATAAGTTTGATATGACTGCATTTAGGATACCAGTACCGTTCACGGTAGCTCAGTCGGTAGAGCGCTCGCTCCGTGATCGGGAGGTCGTGAGTTCGAATCTCGGCTGCGACTGACCTAAGTCGATAAAAAATGGGTAGCAACTGTTCCTTCGCCATGCGCTCGGCACTTTGAAGTGAAAATTGCGGGTCCTTCGGATGAGACCTTAAAAACCGAGGCCCCGTGTCACGGCAGGCGTTGGCACGATAAAGATCCCTCACTGCTCAATGGCCCTGAGTGCCGAGTAAAGGTCAAAATTTGAAGCCCTTCACCGGTATATGGTGACGTCTCTATATGAGTGAAAAATTCTCGAATGGGACGTAAAACAACATACAATCAATCAATCAATAGGATACCAGTTTTACAACACATGGACTTTTTGTCAATAAATGATTTGAAAACGGAACACTCATGCTTGCTTTGTTTAATGATGTACAATTGCAGGTTTACCTCTGAAATTCCGCCAAAATGAGTATTGAAATGACACACTCGCAATGAAAAGGGTAGGCAGGTCTGCCTGGGGTGGTTGATAAACTGGAAGAAATCAGTGCTAGAGCCCAAACGATAGAGTTTTTGGGTCTAAAAGTGGACTTAGTAGAAATGAGTGTTTATTTACCTCGGGACAAAATTCAAGACATAAAAATGAAATGCCAAAACGCATTAGAATCCAACCACATTACATCACATTAATCTTTCTGACTTTTTTGAAAGTAGAACAATCAAAAAAGTAAGAGGAAGTTTGTACCATCATTTCTTGCTGGAAATCTTTTGAAGGATTCTAATATTCAAGTTATGGAAACATCTCAAAATAAAAAGCAAAAATTAGAAAAAGAAAAAAAGCCAGAAATATCAAAAGGGAAAGGAAAAGCACTAGATAAGGGGAAAATTCAGCAACTTCAAATTGAGTCCCAAACCAGGAACATCTGGCATTCAAAGCAAAACATCTGGTCCAATACCTGTAGATACTTCAGATGATGACAATTTTACGGAAGACGACGAAGTATGTTGTATTTGCAACAAATGGAAACCTGAGGAACTTTCACACATGGCAGTAATCAGTTTTGTTGGTTGGGGACAATGTGGCATTTGTGGACATTGGAACCATCTTAAATTTTGTTCTGAAGTAAATGTTCTCCGGAGAGGAAGTTAATTCAAATGTCCACATTGTGTTTAAACAATTTAATACATGTAATAATAAAATGAACTCAATTAAAGTTTAAATGATTGCAAATTTAATTTCAGTTCCTTTTTTAAAAGTGATATTATATTTAACTAAACAAAAAATAAAATAAATACCTAATTACTGAACCAGGCTTCCATACATTCAGTACCGTGATACAATGGAACTCTCCATTTTGAAAGGTAAATTAGACTACTGTTTTAAAAATAGCACACAAAAAACGAAGAAAGGTTGAAAAAATGGGGTTCCACTAAAAAGTTAGCCAAATGTAAGCTTTATAAATAGCAACCATTGACATGTTAAAATTACAACATGTAATATCCTTTTTTAAGGAAAAGAATTAAGTACTGTGATATAATGAGACACCAGAGGTGTGTTCAGCAGAGCGAACGCTCGCGATTGTCCGCTAGCGCCCGCTTCTGAACGGAGGTGATCGCCAGAGAGTTCGCGATCGCTCGCGAACTTGCTTCTTAGGTAGTTCGCATCAAATCCAATATGGCGTCGAATGTGTCGATCGATGGATGAGAAGCTGTATTTTTCATGAAAACTGTCTAACTACTGTGTATCTTCATTCCGGAATTTGAACACCTGAAAGGTTTCAACATGATTATAAAAATACCACAACAAAGAATACCAAACAAAGCTCAAGATCGGTCGTGTTTCGGTTTTATTTGCTGTAAGATGTGATGGAAATGAGAAGTGACAAACTTTTCACCACTTTTTGTCTCTGTGTTAAATATGTAACAGATAGAGTTACTTATAAGTGGTTTGTCTGTCATATCTCTTTAACGTCTTACTCCATCAAAACAATGGCATCCTTGGAGGGCTAAAGCTCCGGCATGTCCAGTGTTGCATGTATACAAGATTTATCGATACACAATGCAAATTAAAAGATGAAAAAAAAAAAAACAATAAGAAACATAATGAAAAAAATCTTTAAATGCATTATAGATTAGTTTAAATTGAAAAAAGCTACAGAGAACCACATTTTATAGTTCAGAGTGCAAGTACCAGATCACAATTCAACTGTAAACATCATTTAGTGATTTACTCATTTGTTGTTATATCTTTCATATGATAAGTGCGTAATAGAATGAGATGCTTAAGATGATTTTGACTTGCTCAGCTTAAAAGTTGTGTCTCATTAAACCAACAAGAATTAGGCCCAGATACAGAATCATATGTGATTTATTTTTAAAATCTCACATAGGGATATATATTTTATGTGCAGACTTAGATATTAAATTCACATGTACATGACATAATATTATTTATATTTTTTCATTTTTGTCTTGGATTTCCTGTTATATAAAAATTCGGTCATTATTTCTTTCACAAAATTTGAAGAGATTATAATTTCCTAAGCCAGTAGAACCTGCTTACGTAATAGTGGACACAGCCACAATGGGTTCAGTTCATACTTTATTGTTGATGTAGATGGATATATTAGATGACATAACAATTGTTATAGCCCTGTAAAATGCCTCAGTATCGCAAGCTACCAAACGATACGATACATATCATGATGTGTCATGCAATACATGTATAATGATACAGTTGTCAACAATTGAATTCACTGATACCATTACATATTCTTGTTTGCTTACCTCCACAGATACTGAAAACATAAAAAGAATACCTTTATACCCATAACCAAAGTTAATTATAGGTTGACCTATAGTATTAACATTGTATTTTTTCTTTGCTACCTTGTATTTAGTCATTGGAACATTAAAAATTTTTATGTTGCAGGAAAATTTAAAAAAAAAAAGACAATGAAAATTAAATTGCACTGTATAACAATACGTACATGGTAATATGATATGTGCATTGTGGGCCCTTGCGATCAATACGGTCGATGTATCGCTGAATTGTTACTTTGATAACTTTAATACCAAGTTTACTCTAACCCAGGAATTAACATCCCCACTAACCCTACTAACCATGAATTTAAAGTTAAATAAATGACTCTACAGTATGTCATTTTCTGTCATCATAGGAAAGTTATTACGCAAGTTTTACAAGAGGAGTTGGTGGATATTGACCTGACTAAACATGACTATCTTCAAAGTGTTGAAAATTTTTTGACAGCTGCTATCTTGGATAAAACCTTGAAGCTGGAGAGAGGGAGAATTACTGACTATGTTGAAACAACAGTGCCAAGTTACAGCAATCCAATGATTCACTCTCATTTTGGAATGAAACGCTCTTCAATAAATGTAATGTTATTTAAATGCTTGGGTTTTTATGTTTTATTTTATTAATTGACGTATAAACACATGATAAAGCTACCCTATGCATCAACACTGATCATTTTCTTTCATTGACATACAAGTATATTAATTACGAAGAAGAGACATAAAAATGATTTCATTCATAAGTAATATTTACCATAATATAGATATCCTTTTTTAAAGAGCTTACACAAGTTCCCTTTTTAGTTATTTGTCCAATTCCCCATTTTTGTATTTTAAGGTCATAATTATGTTCCCCAAACGAAGTTTGGGAACATATTGTTTTTACTCTGTTTCTTATTATTATTATTATTAAGGTCTTTCGTCATCACGGAAGACCTTATAGTGATTCTACTGTTTCTTATTAAGGTCTTCCGTTTCAGTCGGAAGACCTTATAGTGATTGTACTGTTTATTATTATTATTATTATTAATTTTTTCCCATTTTTTGTCCAAGCGATTTCTCAGAGATGGCTCAATGGATTTTCTTGAAACTTTCAGGGTTTATGACAAATAAAATAAACTAAAAACATTTTTAAGGATTTTGCAAAATTCACTTCCGGTCGTCAAATATGTCCGATTTCCGTTTTTTCAAAAGAGTTCATGTCCGGACGTTTTCTCAAAAACGGCAAAAGATTAAGACCTCAAACTTTCAGGGATTATAGATCATGACAAGTATGTTTGTGGAACATGTTTAAATCCGTCAGCCGTCACTTCCGGTCGTCACAGGAAGTGATCAAAGAAATCGAAAATTTCAACTTTTCTTATTTTAATTAAATCTTGCATCACTTAATTGCATCTGTTTTGCAGTTTCGAAATATGTTGGTCCCACTGGAAACAGAAACGTCAACTTCCGGTTACAAGCGAAAAACTACATAATTTGAGCATTTTACTTTCCCATAAATATCGCTTATAGAAGAAGTATTTGAATTGATTTTTAGATATGTTATTCAGACTGCAAATGTCTAGAGTAACGTCAAATATCTTGGTAAAATTCACTTCCGGTCGCGTGTTTTACTGTCCGCAAAATGAGAACTTGTCAAAGTGAGATCTCAGAAACGGTAAGAGATTAAGACACCAAACTTATATGAGTAATAGAGCTTAATGAGTAGGCAAAACCCTTTGGGTTAATAGCGTCAACCGTCACTTCCGGTCTTCACAGGAAGTGATCAAAGAAATCAAGAATTTCAACTTTTCTCTTTTGAGTTAAATCTTGCATCATATAATTGAATCTCTTTCACAGTTTCTATATGTGTTGGTCTCACTGGAAACAAAAAACGACAACTTCCGGTTATAAGACAAAACTATGTAAATGGGATTTTTAACTTTCCCAAAAATATCGCTTATAGATAAAGTTTTTGAAATGATTTTTATTTATGTTATTGAGACTGCAATTGTCTAGTGTGAAGTCAACCATCTTAGAAAAATGTGCACTTCCGGTCGCGTGTTTTTCTGTCCTCAAATTGAGATTTTGTTCACCAAATTGCTCAGAAACAGTACATTGCTGAAGTCTAAAACTTTCAGAACTGATAGAGAGTCCTCAGTTCATCTGCATAATGTAAAAATCGTACGTTGCCGTCACTTCCGGTCGTGACAGGAAGCGATGAAAAAAGTAAATTTTTAAAGTTTTTCTTTCTTTTTACAGAAATGTTTGGCTAATACGGATGTTAGATAGACTGTAACAATGCAATTTATTTTCACCGGAAGGCCCAACCGAAAAACCGGAAGTTGTCTCAAACATGAGTAGTTTTTCATAGAAACTTTTAGGGAGGATCAGTTGTGAATAATTTAGGTGTAGAATGAACATTTTATTCGTTTGGAGCACTTTCAATCATGACGTAGTACATAAAGAAAACAGGAAAGTAATTCCGTTTTTTTTATTGTATTTACATATCTTTGGGAACCTTGAGATAACTTTTGTTAATTATTTAGAGTAATCTTATTGACAAGATTGTGGTTTTTTTTCCCGAAGAAGTCAAGAAAACGGAAGACCTGTTATTGCCTAGGCAATAAGTATCTAGTTAAGGTCTTCCGTCTTCACGGAAGACCTTATAGTGAT